TCTCTTACTAAAATGATACAATTACGATACCTGTAAAAGCAACGTTCACAGATATAAGAATATCAGTCGTCGAAGACAAGATCCTGGCATGTAGTAATTATTTTCCCATTTCCGAGATTTCTAAAATGCGAAAAAAGGATCTCGAGGCCCGGCATGCTGTTAACAATTAAAATTGCAAGTAAAATTTCGCCGCGGACGCTTTCGACAATTTTTCCGGATCCTGCACACTCGCCCTTTGTCCCGAATCCGGTATTCACGGAGCATTACCTAGCAAAGGGACTGTCCCTTTGTTTTATTGTGTCCACAGGACATCCTCGGTATTTTTCCGAGTTTACCGAGCTGAATCGAATCCGCCATTCCGACATCGGGGGACGAGAATTCATTATTTTCGACTAACGACCATTCGGTTGCGTGAATCCAAAAAGCGTTGTCTGACCAAGGACCTCGCCAAAGCAGCCGGGCATTCCCTTTTCCCCAGAGAGAAAAAAAAAGAAGGATATAACCGAGTTAAACTCGCGGACCTCGGCCGCTCCTTCGGAAAGGAATTCACAGAAAAGCCCGGAGAATGAAAGCGCCAAGGCTCACTTTTGCCCTCCATGAATTATAATTCCATACAGTCCTTTCCCGAAGAGGACCCCTTGCAAAGGACCTCTTTTCAGGGCCTCGACATATTTAGTTTAAAGAAGAGTTCGCTCAAACCCTACCTTCTTCGCCTTTTGCTAGATCTTAAGCCAAAAACGCACTAATTAAGGCGTCAAATTAATTACTAAAAAAAGGATACCCAAGTTTTGCAATTAAGTGAATGCTCCGAGAAACGCCAGAATGATCAAACGCTTCTGTCAAGCAGGAAAATTAGGAAATTCCAAGTTACCAGGACGAAGGAGATCGCATCTCGGGATTTCAGGCACTTAAAAAGTCACTGAAAAAAATTATGCGTCAGAGGAAACATTTTCTAAGTGAGAGATGTTTACAATTTTCAGACTTCATTTAAGCCCTATTCAGAACGCGTGTCGGCTGAGGAAGTTTTCGCGCGCCTTTTCGCGCGCGATTTTCTCGCTTTCACTTCCCAAGATTTTTGATCACAAAGGGAAGACGACTTTTGAAAAGGCAATCGGGATATTGGAGGACCCTGTGTAATACTCGAAGCCAGTACAAAGCGAGTCAATTTACAATCCTTTGAGTCCCAGGGAGTCCGAGGCAAAGCCAGTCCCAGCCGGCAAGTTTGCACCCTTGGCGCGTCCCCTTCAATATGGCGGACAAGGAGGGGGCGGCTTCCATTTGGCAGCACCCATATTCATTACAAATAATAGGCTATTTTCTCAAGGAGCACTCCGAAGTGCTCGAAAGCGAATGTCTCGTCGAGTGGTGTCACTGACGAGCTTAAAGTTAGTCAAGCTCGGGACGAACCTACTCCGCTATCCGGTGAATTATACATCTCGGTTTTGCAGATCCGTACACTCCGAGCACCCTCTCGGGTCCTTCGACATCTTAAGAACATCCCCTGACAAGATAACTCGCCGGATGTTCTAATTCCTCCAAAGAGTCAATTTCACCTCCCCAATGGAGATGTCGTTTCAAATACGAGGAGAAATCGTCACATTTTGAGAAATGCTTTAATCGTTTCTTTTTGGGGAATGTCCTATTTACCAACTTTCAGTTTCGGTAATCCAAAGAAATCTTCAACGAAGAAATGAGGATATTTTCGTATAAAAATTATGGGAATTACGTATGTTCGGTCGAGATTTTGCAACATTTACAGGAAATATCCTAGGCACTGGGAAGGATTAATTAATTTTCTTTCATTAGAGTAGAACAAATGTGGTAAAAAGTTATTCGCGTTAGCCGTGATTTCCAAAGGTCTTCGGGCAACTTGAAAGGGAATATCTCGTCGGGTGGTTTCACCGGCAAATTAAGTTAATCGGCCTTGCAACCTACCTACTAGACTACTCCGTGAATTATGCATCTCGGTTTTGCGGGTGTACACCGGCCTCCCCTTCCGTTGAGTTTCACCCCTTTTGACGACTTCACCATCCCTTAAGAACGCCCTCTCTGATGAGGGAGCTCTAATTTCTCCCGAGAGTTCACTCGACTTCCTCAAATAATACCGATGTCATTGATACGACGACAAAATCGACACTCGACGCGCATTATACAAACTCGCAAACTTCGCCCTCACCTCGTTTAAAATTACTTTAATTCCACGGTGGTAAACTTCTAAAAGATACCCCCTAAATATGAAAATCCTACATTTAATAAATCTCAGATGAAACATTATTGCAGGGACTTCTATTTCCATTTTTACGGCGTTATTGCGGATTGTTATTGGTACTCCTTAGGTCTCGATAAAAAGGTCCAGTTTAATTAGCAATATTATTCCGAGGAAACTTCTTCAAGGAAATTGTCTCGCGAGATTGTCCTGGGACTTATTCTTGCCAAAGTCGAGCGTCAATATCGCAAGAATATTGTCCCGGCGAGCACTCGATCGCAGGCAAATCGCTTTATGAGCAGTCCTTCCTCCGCGGGGCGGTCCTTTTGGTTTTAATAATCCGCTCCTCGAGGTAAGAGTAATCCGATATGACTTGGCAAGAATGTAATTTACTTCGCGAGACAGAATTCGCCCCTCTCGCCTTCGTCCTATCCCCCCGTTTTCAACCCTTAGCCGACTCGCCGCGAAACTTCCACCCCCGCGTTTCCTAGGCGTATTTAATTCTCCTCGCTTCGGGTTATCTTTCAAATATAATATTTCACGTAAACTCAGCCTTCGTTTCCCGTGATACCATACAATGCCAATTTCCAAGTGATTTCAAAACTTTTCGTGATTCAAATTGACATGGAATTTGAAAAACTTCCTCGCCTACCAATCCTCGAGAAGATATCCCCAACTATCATTTCTCTGGGTACGTTCATTCCCTCAAGTTATTTTTTTAACGTCAAACGGTAGATGAATGATTTTCAGAATATAATTTACTCAATTTTAACAGCGTTTAGGACGGTGCAAATTGAGTTACCAAAATTATACGCTCGTTTCATTTTACAAAACGATTTATCTAATCGACAACCGATAGCGAGTACACCTGCGGTGCATAATTGAAATTGCCCGCAAGTAATTTCATCCCGTTCGTCTGATCTTTGTCACCAGCTCACCCTTGTCTCCTGCAACCATAACATCTTCAAAGGCAACTTCAAGGTAATACCTCCAGAGATGAAGCAGGATAGAACCGAGAGGCCACGTGCTTAAATTGCCTATCAACAATGACAGGGTCGGTTTGTCTCATCTCCTCATTTTGGTACTGTCAAACCCACGAGAAATTTTTCAAATCCTCTATTGTCTCCCATCGTTGATATTAGACAAAAATGCCGACAATTATAGACTGAAAAAAAAAAAAATAAGGACAATACGCCCACTATCGAAATTAAAGAAACGTTATTAGTTATAGATCGGAGAGAAATATAGATAAGCAAGAGTAAAGAAATTGTTCCTGGATTTTTAGATACTTCCGGCACTCATTGCCAGCTCGACGAGGGTGGAAAATTTTAAAAGTTTCCCCTTGGCTATGATATATATCTCTCTCTATATATTTTAGCAGAACGGTGGTGAGCTGGAGGTGAATATAAATCAGGAGGAGGCGCCGTCACGGGGACGGATCGAAATCTCGATTTCGAAATCTCGAGCCGGAGGGGACGGAGATTACCGTGGAAATATATTTTCCCTTCGTTGGCCGCGGTTGTTTTTGTCATAATACTTTATAGGGGTTGCGAGTGGGAGGACGTGGAATGTCAGAGACAGACTCGAGGCCTACTCGTATACTTCATCTTCTTCCCGCTGGACCCTTTAGTGCAGATCCAAAATCCCTTACAAGCTGCCTTATCGACGTCTTCCAGTGGATGCTCTTTATGCCCTCTTCATAAAATGCCTATGGGGAGCTTCGAATCCTCAGCTCCCTTCCCTCCCACGTTCTAACCCTCGTTCACATATTTTTAAAAAATTAAAAGGCCTCACTTTTAATTACTAAGTAAATTTGCAAACTCTAGCCGAACAACTGCGGAATAAAATAAATCTTCAAATGACACAATTAATTCTGGGATAAACTTGTGTCATTACCCTTCATTTAAAATGTCGTCCCACCTACTTTCAATTTCTCTGGATAATTATGTCGAAATTACGAGCCACGGACTCGTCTCCAAGACACTCAATAAATCACGTTTTCGAGTCTTTCTTTCGAAACGTTGTCGTGACCTTTCATCTAGTCGCCAAGATGAAGAAGACGAGGTACGAACTTCGCCTAAAAGCCGAGTGTTTCGAGTTCCTCGGCGAAAGTGAGAAAAGTGCGAGGAGAAATGTCGCCGTGACATTTGGCGTGGTCGTGCGATCGGTTCTGGCAAAACCGAGTTTGCCTCTCTCTCGCACCCACGACTCGGCGTATACCTCCGTCTCTCTCGCTCCCTCGTTGCGGCAGACCCGCGATCGCGAGTCGCTCTTTGAGCATAATTTACTTGCGTTATGTCACCTCGCTTAGGCTACCTTCTAACGCCTCGACATAATGGCTTTGCTGCTGGACCACGAGTGAACTGATTTATTATCATACGCGGAATTTGCAAGATTATTCTAGTAAGTCATCGGATTATTTCCTACGCATTTGTCTACATGGCGGGAAAGGAGAGAGCGCTCTACGTACTTGAAGAGTTAATACAATTTACGCGGATAAGCTAGCAATTATAGCCGAGCTGAAATATACCTGTTTCGAGTTTCCGTCACTGGAATTGATGCATCAATGAGAGTAGAAAGTTCCCTCGCTTCGAATGATTTAATTTTCAGAACGGTCTAACTTTTCTAACGCAATTGTTAACGCGGTAAATGGTGAACGCTTGCCATGGAACTGGTACAATTATCAGCAGGAAATCGGCATTCAATTTGAATAAATGAATTTCCTCGACTTAAGTGTGATCATCCGTTCAAGAGGTAAATGCTAATATTTTTTATTTATTAAACGTCGACCAACCTTATTAATTTGGCGTTGCAACTTTGTGATGAGGGCTCGATCTCTTTGAGCAGCAACACGTTCAGCCTGTAGTGTTTGCTCCAGTTCTTGCACTCGTTCTTCCAAACTTTCCTGAAAATAATGAAAATTTCGTTAATTCAATATATTATAAAGAAATATTCGGAATAGTAATGATATTAATTAATGATTTAATCTGACTATTTATCGAGTTATCCCCAGACTCAACTATAAATTAAGCGACTACCTCGAAAAATCGGTAACCAATTTCTTAAGTATAAACCGCGTTTCTAGCTCGTTTTCACCTTGAAGTTGAAGATGAAAAGTTGATCAAACTATCAGCCCGTTTAAGCCTTTGTCGTTTAAAGCTTTCGGGGAAACACTCTTTAATCGGCATGTCGGGGGTGATATGTATCAGGGGTTGTACACGCGTACCGTGCAGGTTTCACGCAAAAGGGCTGGCCAAATGTCGGGGGTGGCAAACCGCCGGGGGTTGTATTTTCGCGCATTGGCGCCAAATTGAAAACCTACCGGTATATCAAAGACGCGGTGGAGGCGAAAGGGGTAAAGAGCCTCCGCTTTCTGAATTATTGAAGCAACCCCAAAGGGGTGGCGAGAACGCTGGGGGTGGTTTTCGAAAAGGGGGACATCACCGTTAGTCAAAATCCTGACACGTACGTCAGTAGTTTCTTAAACGGCACATGTCTTATTAATTAATAATTTCGTTCAATGATACATTAATCCGATATAAAATCATTTTTAATTAATTTAAGTCCTTCTTTATTTCGTTGGATTTTTTATCCTATCGTAATCTTCAGTTTTATGGAAAATTACTAAGAGGAATGCGTTTTTAAAAAGCGAGAGAGGTGAAGGGTTATTGCATCCCCTTTTCAAGGAGGAACGATATTGCACTGGAGAGTGCCTTCCGGCACTCGTGACGCGTTGAGATAATTTTTGCGTCCAAGTAAACGCAAGGATGCATACATCTTGCGTAATTAATGCGTCGACCTTCCGGCACCGTGTGATGTGAACTCGCCTTGTGCGAAATGATGGACGCGAGAAAGGAAGTGCCAGGTTCGGATATTTCCCTCCTCCGAGTTTGCCTCATCCTTTAAGCCGGGGAGAAATCACGACCGATTCTCCCCGAAGAGGTAATAAACAATAGAAAATTTGTTCAAGAAAAAAAAAAAATTACAAAAGACTTTATAAGGATGGCCAATCATATTTGAACATAAGGAAATCCCTATAGAAATGATTTCCCGTACGAAGAGCTAAGCCAAATTCTTTCAAGCAATTTAGAAATTCAACGAGCATTAAATTTTACCCTGAGAGAACTATCAGTGAATGTGTTTCTTTATCAGAGTTTTTATAATGCCGAAATACCACCTTTTCGCGGTTTTTATGAGGTTTTAGCGTCCTCTCCCTTTAAGGGATGTTCGCGACAAACAATGGCCACGCGCGATGGCAGGGAGGGTGCTAGGAGGAGTCGGTAAAGGGCGGTTTTGCAGGGAGGGTGAATCGCGACTACGTGCCCTAGCATACGAATCAACCCTACCAGTCTCGCAACCCTCGGAATCCTAGAACCACCCCTTCAGCCTACTTCATCCACCTATCCGGCTCTCATCCACCTACACCTGCAGATCCCAACACCTCCGATCGCAATGAATCTCCCCAATACGACCTCGGGAATTACGCATACGGCCTCGAAACCACCCCTAACGATTTGCAAATCGACAGGGTTTGGAGGTAGTCATATTAGGGCCTCTATCCGCGTTTTCGATATCGGCGAGAATACGTCTTCAAGATTTTCCCAGATTTCAGTACTCCAAAATAACCCTTTTTTCCATTTTATTTAACATACGCGACGCATTTACTGTTCGAAATTAATGAAATGAACCCCCACCCCTATGGTGATCGCGACAATGCATTGAAAATTTCAATGGCGCCCCCGAATCCGGCCAAATTGAATTCGATACAGAGTTCTTATGAATTTAATGGAATCGTTATTCGAGGTTTAATATTGGGACGTTTAATTAGCCGAGGGATGTTATTTAGAAGCGGTAGGGAATTTCGATTAAATTTATTTCCAAAGAGTATGTAATTGATAATTATTGGAAAATTCGAAGGGATGTTTCATCCCAGTTTTTAATGAACTCTCGCGTTTTACTTTTTTTACACTCCCCCGTTTAAACGGCGTCCGATCGAGGTAAACGAAGTGCATCGATCTTGGGAGAATTCGGTGGACGCGCCGAGAATACGACGCGGTTTGGGCTTCGCAAGCTTTATTAATTACCCAGATAAATCGACTGGGTAACGCAAACCGAGCAAACGCAAATCCTGGCAGTAGATTCCAGTAAATCCACTAGTTACACTGTGCAGGACCTACAAGGTAAACGGGCCAATTGCAGATGCAGATGCGGTTCGAAGATTAATGTGCTTGACTTCGATGTTTGGCTCTGCTTTCCACGAGGATGGTGTCGATGTTAAGCTCAGAATTTACCTTGAATACCCGAACGTATGTAGGCGCGAATCATCTACAAATTCTGACCCAATTACCCCTTCTCCTCTCCCGTACAATAAATATCCCCACAAATTTCCTATTTTTCCTTCCCTTTTCGAAACTCTCATTTCCCTAGAGGAGACACGGTACGATATTTTTTCCCTTCGTACATGGACTTTATTTCTTCAAATGAAATCTCTACCATATTGCATTTTCTATTCTGGGATATAATAATGCATTCTGTTTGTTTTAAATATTTTCTTGTTTACGGGGATTGTAATTAATCGCATTCCCGCCGGATTTGGATGTGTAAAACGGCGATCGGGGATTCCATCCACGTGCAAAGGGGTCTCAGGCCATTCGTCTTAAAGCTCGGACTTTATCAGAGCTCCGAGGCTCCTTTGTACGGAGCTTGCGAGCTTATATTGCTGATTAACATTGCGATACCGTAAACTGCAGCTCTTTCGAAGTCGAGGGCGGAAAGGGGGAAAAAGGTAAATGAGAAAGCTCCGGGGAAAAAATCCCCAGGAAAAGCGAGGAGAAAATATCTGAAAGCTCCGGCTTTTCAAAGCACCCCTCGTGCGCGGATGTCTCGTAAAAGGGGGTGAAATCGGTCGTTTCCGATTCGACGACCGATTTGAGGGAGGTTTACGAGGGGTGGGACTTTTTAATTGTCGGAAACACCCCTGAGTTTTTCGGTGTGTACGTAAGATTTCTCGTTTTCGGCACGTAAGAAGCTATTAGAAGAGAAGGGGCGCAATTTCCTAGGCCACAAGCCACCCTTAGACGATTCGGCGGGTACAAAGGGGTGAGTTTAACGTAAGCTCGTCCGCCGTGCTAAGCTTCTCGGATCCGCGGGGCTTCCTCCTAGTTTCGTCGGGATTTTAGGTCCGAGGGGTGAACCGAAATTATTCAGGAAATATGCATCAGCCGGCTTTGCATATCGGTCACTCGTCCGTAAAATGCATTTTGCGTCTCGCGAGCAAAAACCACCCCTCCGAGTAAGTGAATCAGGGGGTGCAGAGTGTTGTCCCGGAACTCCGGGGGAAACTCGATCGAGTTGTCGTTCCGGTAGATTTAGGAAACGCCAATTTAGAAAATAATTCGTCGACGAAAAACGTGAAATGATGGTAGAAGAGGGTCACAAGGAGGGTGGTTTTCGCGTTTCAGCAGGGCTGAGTACCTCCAAGCGTCAGAGGCGATCCCGGACTCGAGTACTCCATTTCGAGTACCACCTCCAGTACTCGATCACTATTCCTGACTCACTTCCTCTCCACTCGGAATAAATTTCCATCTCTTCGACGTCGAGCAGCGCGTCCAATGAGCTCCCTTTCGCCACCCAACAATTTCTTATTATCCAAAAATCCTGTTTCATCCATTTCCTCATTTGCACCCCTCGCTTACTACATCACCTTCTATCCATCTCGAAAAAACGAACTAAATTCAAGTGAAATTAAAGAAATGTAAAAATCCGAAGTAAATACCGAAACGTCCCTCATAAAAATTCCTGGAAATTATTTTCAGGCCCCTCGGTCCATTTCGTGACTGACACAAAAATTGTATAAAACCTCCACTGTTCTTAGATATTTATTGAGAATTTTTAATAAGCAAAGTTTTGCGCCATTTCCGTTCTTTATTGTCTCGAGCAATGATTTACATGACGCTTTACCGACGTCTTGAGGCACACGAAATCGCCCTGATTTATCCGGCCACTTTGGCAAAGCACTGGACTCCGGCCAGACCGGAAGGTCCACCTCGCCGGAAATCGCGGCGATATTTCAGGGAGGTCTAGGGTCCCTAGGCGAATCCCGGAGCCCCAGGACACCGAGGCCCGAATTTGCATAAAGCGCCGTCGCGGTCGCCCCGCCAAATCAATTTGCAACCCTTCCCCCGCGAGGACGAGGAAGATGTCAACTTGACATTTTCCCCGAAAGAAAGACTAACTTTACGGATTGAATCATTTAAATGGGTCCTTCGGGCCGGAGGATATGCAAGAGGACAGGGACCAATTTCCTGGATTCGTGTCCCGGCATTTTCCGGGATTATTTTGAAGCTGCACAACCGTCCAATTTATATGAGAGCATTTCTTGCCGTTAAAAAATAACGTTGCTAGAATTCCTCCAGACCGCCATGGGTCCTTCTAAAATATTATAATTTTTATTACACACTCTGGGGTGTTAAATAATCTTTAATGATGTTAAAAATAATTATGCCCCTGAGAAGTGTTATTAAGAAAAAAAAGAAAGCTGCAGTGGAAAATTATCGGAGAGGGAGAATTGATTTTAATGAAATATGGGGGAAGAGGCAAAGAAGACGTATGATGAATAAAAGGAGATTGGAGGGGGAAGGGGCGAGAAAAATTGGGGAAAATTGGAGCGGCGATTGCGGCAGTGAAACGATTAGGTGGGAAAATCGATTCGAAAGAGGCTCGGTCGCATTTCCGCAAAGCGTCGTTTTATATAAAGAGGCTGATGGCGAGGCGGGAAAGTGTTCCTTGGGGAATTGATTCCGGGAGAGAGGGGAGAAAGGAGGGAAAGAAAGGCGCATGCCGACGAAAGGGAACGTGACGAAGACAGGGAAAAGTGGGAAAACGAGGACGGAAGGAACCGGAAAA